GACTCTTACAGAAGAATGCATATTTAAATCACTTCCCCTTGATTAACATTAAAAAGAAACATCTCTGCCCCAAAGGATGGTAATGATTTTTTTAAAAAAGTCTAGCTAAAGAATAATCATTCTACAAATAATTTGCCCTGTGACTGTAGTCATTCATAACATACGTATTTGTAAAGCACAGTTTAAGTACACTGCCTTTCATTAGCATATTTTTTTTTAAATAAAGGGGGATGCATATCAAGAGTGTAAGAACTGGAAGATTATTTCCACAGTTTAAAGAATTAATAAGAGAATGCTGGTTCAAGTTTTTAAAGATGGAAATCTTATAAAAAATGCCACCATCATTGTCTGTGAACTAGTTATAAACAGCAGGATACCCACTGGCATATCACTCCATTCAACGTTACTATTTTAAGATGTTCTGTCAATGCTAAAGTAAAAAAAAAAAAAGAAAAATTACTTAAGAGACAAAAAAAAAAGATGCAATTAATCTTTTATTGAGGACTATCCAGTGGCAAGAATACCTTGCGTATTAATGTTGCAGACAGTCAATAAAGAATTGAGAATGATTTTCACAATGCAATCATCAAAACAGCTTTAAATATTGTAAAAGGCTCATTCAAGAGCATGTCCTGAGTTCTAACAGGTTTTCTGTTTAGATGGCCAACCAACTAGTTTTCTCTTATTTTACTAGAAAGCGAAAGTTTTTGTTTTTTTTTAAAAAACCATGACTGTTTCCATTACGAGATCAAATTATTACGTTATCCATTTACCTTAAAGTTCCTATCTCACCACAGATAATGTCCAAAATTCCTCTATGATTTAAACATAAGTAACATGCAAGGTTTTCAAATTTTCAAAGTACATTAGCCTTACGAATTTGGATACTGGATATTTTTCAACAAGTTTTAGCACTGCAGTAGAGGGCCACCACGTAAAATCACCAGCTCAGAGAACAGTCAGTTGTAAACTTCTGGTTCATTTATTCATGGCTAAAAGAAATGCCTGACAAATGACTCCATTAGTCTTATCATTTGAAGGGAACAACAACAAAACGGTAAACAACTTCAGAAATCCAGTTCTATATTGAGAATCCTGTTAACATCCTCAGCCCTTTTCTTTCCCCAAGTGTACTACTGAAATCTGATGGCTCATTGAGAGGAAAAAGCTACAAAACAGAAATAGGTTCATTTGTAGCAAAAAGATTGCTCGCTAGGCATCCCAGGGTTGGGGGCTGGGCTGGAGGCCCGCCCAGCGCCGGAGCTCGGTCGAGGCGCGAGAGGCAGAGGAAAAGGGGAGGGGGAGGAAGGAAGGACGACGGGGCCCCTTTGGCCTAACAGCTCCTGGTAGTGTGTGTGGACACTTGATTTAGTCTTGCCGAACTTCAGTAAAACTGGAAGGCGAAACCTTGTTAAATCATAGGTTAAGAAAAGACGTGGCGATTTTGTACCAAGTTTCAATTAGCTACAGAAAATCGCCCTCAATCGAATCCCCGCAGCTACAGGTTTAGCTCTGTAGCTGTCAGGCAAGAGGCTGAGGCAGCCACGAGCAATGCCCCCGCCTTGGGCGCTGCCCCCCAGGAAAAGAGGCGGTACAGCAAGGAGGGAGGGGGGCAGGAACCTCTGGCGTGCATCCCTAGCCCAGCCCGCTACCCAGGGCCTGCAGTGGGGTCAACGACAGGCTGAGGCTGGGGTGGAGAGAAGGACGACGGGTGGCACAGAAAGTAATCTCTAGGGAGCAGAGATCCCACGCGCGGGACAGAGGCGCACGCGTGGAAAAGAAATGTTTAGGGCTGGCGCTGCTGTCACCGCCCTCTGAGGCCTGCGCAGGGAACAAGGCAGTTGGAAGAAGAGGGGAAATGAAAAAGCAGACCCAGTCTTTCCCAAGGCAGCTAAACCCAGGAGGCAGGTTCCCGGGGGGCGAGCCACCAGGAAGCCAGCGCGGGAGAGAGGGGGAGGGGTGAGGATCCCTGGCGCCTTGCTCCAGCGAGAGGCCCTGGTGGGTAGGTGGAAAGGGGGGTGGAGGAAACGTCTTTTCCTTATTTTACATCCCCCCCCCCCAGGGCCAGGCAACTCCCCAGTCCAGATCTCATCCTAATCTCGCAGGCCCTGGAACAAACAGTGGTAGTGTCCCTCCTAGCTCGCCTCTGGGGAACGAGGTGAGTCAAGAAGCAAAAGCCAGTACCATCCTCCATTGGGAAACCTGTCCCTAGAATATTGAAAACGAGATGCAGGCAAAAGAGCCTAAGGTGACGGCGAGAGGAGGCAAAAACTAAGGCAACCCCTTCCCTAGTCCTTCCCTGTAGAATTACAAGGTTCCCGGCCGGGCTCGCGCCCAGCCTGCAGTCCCGGAGTTGAACCTGAGCGCGCGCGCTTTTCTCGCGCCAGCCTCTCACCCCATCTCAGAACGTGCCCCCTCCCCCCACTAGATTTGAATGGTCGCCCTGCTGCCAGGCAAATCTCATCTTACAGTAAGCACTCCATGTTTCTCCAGGGTACTATGGACCTGTCCATACCTCACCTCCCGCACAGCTCCCCACCAGCCAAGACCTGGAGCCTAGCTGGGTCCCTGCCGCACTCTCAAGGGCCAGTTAACCTAAACTCTATCCCTCCTTTTAGGAGCTGAGCTCACCAACAATCTCCAGCACCCACCTTTTTCCAGGCACCCTCGACCTTGGGAAACCGGAAAGAGCCATACAGCCAAAAAACATCTCTTTTCACCCAATACCCGCTAGAGGTAAAAAACTGCGGTTGCGCTGCCTACTGTCCTATACCTCTTCTCATAACAAGCACGAGGTGGGGGAGGGGGGGAATCAAAACGGAAAACCGCTGCTCCCACCCTCTGAAGGAAACGGCTGTCCAAGACCAGGAATCACAGCTCTCAGGGCGCACACTCTGCCGTGGGTGGGTGGAATTCGCCACCCACAGCCCGCAAACCTCATGGTTGGGTCGCCCAGCCCAGTGGAGAATACGCACAGCATCTAATGCAGAGAAATGATCCCAGGAGCCTGAAATCTTCTCTTCTCTAGATATCCCCCCCTCCCCCGGCCATCTTCCTGAGCCTTCCCCGGCGCAGTCTGCCAGGGTGGGAGGGTAGAGAGTAAGGGAGGCGGGAATGGCGCAAAGAGGTGAGAAAGGAAACGGAGAGAAGAGGGGGAGGGAGGTGATGGCAAAAGGATGCAGAAAGACTACTACTCCTCCTTGGCCTTTAAAAACTAGCCGGAAAAGGGGAAAAAGAAATCCGGATATAATTGGGCGAGCCAATTGAGCACTTTCAAGCCTAACTACTTCTAAATGTATAATTCTCTTCCGCCCCCCACCCCATCCGCACACACCACAGCCTCGCCACCGAATGCGCTGTGACAATGGGACCTCTAGTTTGACTTTATAGAGACCACTGGCCATGCGAGTTTCTATCAGTTCCAGCTGATTTATTAAAATTGTCAAGATACAGACTTCCAGCACCAAAAAAAATATAAAATAAAATTTAAAAAAATTAACCAGGCAATGATGTTGACAGTGCATGAGTCTGCTTTGCCACCATTTGCTACAAAATATGCAGATGGTCTGTACTTTATTAATATTGCACAAAATGAGAAACTTTTAAACTATGTGCCTTTTTTTGTTTTTTGCTAAAAATCGAGAATCCAGTTTCAAAATTTCCATCTGGGGCCCCATCCACATATCACAGCGTATGAGATACATAAAGTCCTACTATATAGTACAGTACATATACAATCTTTAAACTAAGATAACAGCTCTGAGGTCTATATCACCATTTTCAATAAATCTTTACCTACAAATATTGAACAAATCTCTACTATAGCTGTACAAAAAAAAGTTTGCTTTTTTTAAACCACAAGGCCTTTAGATGCAAGGATTATTTAAAAATTTTAATCCTTTTTAAACCAGGACATAACGTACCAACATACTTGCATGCTAAAAAACGGAGGAAAAAAAAGAAATCAAAAGGGAAGAAGTGCCTGAAAGTCTTACTGAAAAAACACAGCAAGAATGTTCCCTTTTCACTGTACAAAAATACGCCTGAAAATATATTAATTTTTAAAAAAGACTGAGGTCTGTTATGTATCAAAAATGTTTCAATACCTTTTGTACTGAGGTCTAGGCTGTCTGGTATTCAATCAAGGAGGTATAAGGGAACAAGTTACAAAAAAAAAGTTGGCAAGTAGAAATCACATTTGTAAAACCATAAACAATTTGATCTGAAAAGTAAACTCTGATCTTGTCAGTTCACAGTTTTTTGTAAGCGTTTGTACAGTCTGCATTTTTTCAAGCTCCCTGCAGTTTTGTTAAGAATCGGATGCATAGAAGACATCAGTTTTCTCCCTCCAAAAAAATAAAATAAAAAAGTTGCAATGGTCCCTTTTTTGTTTTTGTTTTTTTTAAAAAAAAATCCCACCAGTTCTTTAAGATCTCTTAAGGAAAAACAAAAACAAAATAAAACAACAACAAAGAAAAAACTCCACAAAACTCCCTAGAGTAACAGTTGTGCTGCCAAAAGGCTCCTCTGCAGACGTCTTCCAGATTTCAATCAAAGACCGACAAGCTTCAAACAGCGCCTTCCGGAGCGGTTCCTCCCTCCCCTCCCCCGCCCCGTCCCCTACGCCTTTGTTGCAATCACGAATTAAAAAAAGAAAAAGAAAAAGAAAAAGTATTAATTACAAAACACATTTCAGGGTAGAGGATCACAACTCCTGACTAGGTATGCAACTACCTTGAGACACGATAAAGGGAGGGGGACCAAAAAAAAAAAAAAGAGAAAACATGTTTAAAAACTACTAATTTCACTTTAACTTCACCAAAATTTTCATCTTTTCCAATTTCTTTGCGTCAAGACATCATATCAGTATCATCAGCATCTTCTTCTCTTCCCTCCACCCTACCACCACCACCTACATCATCATCACCATGATTTTTCTCCCAAGGAACCCTGCTCTGCACCCGCCGAAGGAAAAGAGCGAGAGAAGCGAGGTGTCCCTTTCAATATGTGAACACCAGGTCGGAAAAGTTCGCCTCCAGCCAGTCCCCCGCGATCATCTCGCTCAGCTCCGGTGTGCAGTAGTCGGGGAACTCGAAGTGGGAGCCCAGGCTGCCCTCGCTGAAGGAATCCAAATCCTTATCCACCAGCGAAAGGGACAGATTTCCCGCTGCCGAGCCACCCCCTAGCTGCTGCTCGCTGGTGGTGTGCGGGTTTTGGGAGAAATTCAAGCTCAGGTCGAACATCAGGTCGTCGGTGTCCTCTCCGCTGCTGCTGCTGGATGAGGAGGAGGTGGAGACCGAACGCGAGGACGCAGGCGAGAGCCCCGATTGCGCGAGCGGCTGCGTGTTCTGCTTGGTGATGTTTTTGAAGCTGTAGTAGAGGCGGCTGGCGCTGCCGCCGTGGCCCCCGGTGCCCGAGGTCGCGCCGGCCCGTACCTCGTCGTAGAGGCTCGCGCCCTCGGTGGACTCTGCCGAGCTGCTCAGAGTAGGGCTGGCGGGCACTTTGGCGACGTTGTAGCGTCTGAGGAGCTGCTGCTGCTGCCCCGGCGGCTGGAGGAGCTGCTGGTGCGGGTGCTCCTCGTCGTCCTCCTCTACCTCCTGCTTGATCCGTAGCTGCAGCTCGTCTTCATCCTCGTCATCGTCCTCCTCCTCATCCATGAAGACGCACTTGACGGTCTTGCTGGCGCCGCTGCCCCCCGCGCCGCTCACTTTAAGGCTGCCGAATACATAGTCGTCGCCACCGTATTCCCCGTGGTGCGACGCTTTGCCCACGCCGGCCTTGGGGCAAGCGGCCGTGGGAGTTGTGGTGGCCGCGGGGGTCTTCAGTTTGCTACATTTCTTGCTTGAACCTTTGGAGTTCTTGCCGCTGCCGGTGCCCCCGCCGGCGCCGCCCCCGCCGCCTGCAGCACTTTTCTCCGGGCTCTGGCTGGCGTTGGGCTTGGCCGAGGGGTCCATTTTGGGCTTTTTCCTGGGCCGGTACTTGTAGTCGGGGTAGTCGGCCATGTGCTTGAGTCGCAGCCGCTCCGCCTCCCGGATGAACGGGATCTTCTCGCTGTCTTTCAGCATTTTCCACCGTTTGCCCAGCCTCTTGGAGATCTCCGCGTTGTGCATGTCGGGGGACTGCTCCATGATCTTTCTCCGCTCGATCTTAGACCACACCATGAAGGCATTCATCGGCCGTTTGATGTGGCCGGACGCCGTTTTGCACCAGTCCGGGTCGCTCTCATCCAAGGCTACCGGGCTACAAGCCATGAATTCGCCCTCCTCCGTGTCCATCGCCTCTCGGGGCAGGTTGCTCTCAGTTTCCAAGCTTTCCGCCTGCTGCACCATGATTTGTTGAGGTGCTCTGCGTTCCAACCAAAGCAACTTGGTCTCGTGCGGAGATCCCCCTCCCCCTTCCACCCCTCCACCTTCCCGGGCAAGTTGCAAAGTCCTCGGCACCCCGCGTCGGCTGCTCCCCCCCGCCCCCCCGCCCCCCTTTCCAAACTGCACACAGCGGCTGTGGGTGCTTCGGCGGCGACGGCCGCCTTCGCTCTGGGTAGCTGCGGGCTTCGAGTGGAGTGGCGGCGGCGGAGGCGGAGGCGGCGCGGTGGCAGTGGAAGCAGCCCAGGACCCCTCTCTCCAGCTAGTGGTCTACCGCCGCAAGCGCCGGACACGGAGCACTCCAAGGCGCGCGCGCTCCTTCTGCAAAAAGTTGAGGGCTCTCTCTCAACTAGTTATCAGGGTGTCATATGGGTGACATCACTCCTCTAGTCAGCCAATAGCGGGGAGCCGGCTCCGCCCATCTCCCTTTATTAACTCTGCAGCCCCACCCCTTTTCACCCCGCCCTCGGGGCTTCTTTAGAAAGGGGGGGACGCAGATAGAGGAGGAGGCATGTCTAGAAATATGTTATTTTTGAAAAATCCGCGAGTGTGCACATATGCGCCTTCTCCCCAAGATGCGTGGTAGCTGCTAACAGCGGGAGCCGAAGTGAATGAGCTATGCTAGGCACCGGCGCAATCTGCAAAGGAGGTCCTCAGGATGACTTTAGTCATCCCTATCCTCACTCTCCAGGAAGAATGTTAGTGTAGGAGCAGATGGACCTGCACGCTCACTTTCTCATGCACACATTCATCCACACGCACAGCCTGCGATGGCCAGTGTGATCCAGCATGAGGATTTCTCTGCGCCCATCTCGCACAAGGGGTGGTTTCTGTTACTCCCCCTTAGTCGTCGCTGCCCTAGAGCCGGTATTTCTTTTCTAAGAGCCCTCGTCTGCCGACTTCGCTTTCACCCAACTGAAGGTGGCGCTTTAACACAGCAACCTTTCTCTAAGGCACGTGGACCTTTTTTTTTTCCTCTCACCCCTTTCCCTTTCTCTAAGGCAAGGAAATCAATTTAAAGCCCAAGAGGTTGTATTTTCCCTCCCCCGTTTGCATTTATCTGTTTTGTCCTTTGCTCCTTATGTTTTCTCCTCCGCGGTCGTGTTTGGCTACAGCACGGTGCAGGTTTCCTTGCTCCAGGGCTCGCCTGGCCCGCCCCGCCCAGCCCCGCCCCCAATCAGTGGGGAGAGGCTCGAGTAACGGTCTGTGGAGTTTTGCTTTAGCTGCGCCATCCCATTGAATTTAACCAACTCCCGTAGCTGTTCCTGGAGCAAACACTGGTTCCCAAAAATCCTTAGTCCAGAGGGCACAATTCTACTCCCCTCCTGAATGGACGCATTATTGAGTCTTTCACTCTCTTTCTTGTCCCCACTCCCTTCCCCTTTCCCTTACTCCTTTCCTCATTTTCTTCTTTCCTCATTTTCTTCTTTCCCCGCCCCTTTTCTCTGCCACAACCTTCCTTCTAGAGCAGTCGAATCCTGAAATTTAACAATTGCAAGTTAGCACGTTGTTTTACTAACTCACTAATGTTAATTGAACAATTACAAACCAAAGGAGGAAATGAGGTGCATCCCAAGTACCGAGTCAAAATATTTCCTTTATATTCAGAAAGGCAGAATGAACTGCTGGCATAAAATCCACACAATAAACAGGCTAGATTACGTTGAATAGTATTATATCACGTCAATCTTACTATCGACATAGAAGTCCCCTTTTATTTATTTCGTCTTCAAGCCATCTACGGATGTTGGGGGGGAGGGCAGTGAAAAGAAAACCACAGCTTTCTATAGATTGGCTTTCGTCATCTTTGTCTTCTCATTCCAGCTTTGGGAGCTGACAAGTTTGAACAGTTTCAAAGATACTGCCTGGGAGTGAGCTCACAAGAGAAGACAGCTTTTTAGAACAACGCGAATTGTCCAAATCCGTTTCCTTCCATGTGCCCCCGTGCTTCATTTTTTTCCAGAGAATTTAAATAACATTTTCACAGATAATTTTTTGAATAAGCATTGCCACTATGAAGAAAAACAACACATAATGTATTTGCAACAGGCCAATCCAAATCTTGAAAATGCTGGAAATTCATTATTTTAGGGCCGCCTCAATAAAAAAGAATTTACTATAATTTATACAGGAGGATCTGCAGTCTCGAAATGTATAAAACCCAAGGCGGTGTGTGAAAATTCATCTTCACTCACTGGAGGCAACCTCAGTGCTTTGTTTTTCTCTCACCTCACACATTTCCCAGCTATTGAGAACACCACAGGGGTGTGGGCTGGAGTGAAGGGCTAATCTACACTCCTCTCCTTCCAGCACGTGACACACCCAAACCCAAATACAAAGCTCAAAATATTTTGGATCACTTTTCATGCAAATTTTGAGGGCACCTAGCATGTTGGACTCTGAAAGAAAAGACATTTGAAAATCCTTTGGCAGACTGAATATTTATTTGCTTTTTTCCACACCATACCACACTTCAGAATGTGCCTTATTTGGGTATAGTGGGACCAAAAATCACGGGTTTCATTTCCATGCTGCCACTATCTTCTCAGAGGAAATATAAGATAAAACGCACACTTCCAAATAAACAGTTTTGTTCAAAGAAAGATGGGTCATTTGTTTGAGAAGATAAACCTGGAGTAAAGTAGGTTGTTTGTTAGAGTGTCCTCTCATCTCAGTGGAAACGAATGACAAGTGAGAGGTGTTACCTGATGAATCTTTCAATAAACACATTAAAGAGATTGAGTATAGGAAAGCACATGTTGCTAGCCTGCACAGGAATGCACTAAAATAGATTTCTTTCCACAAAAGACTTTACTACAAAGTAAAACAACTCTCAGAAAGATTGACTAGATTTGTATTTTGTAACATGAACTGAACCAGCACATGCAATATTAGTCAAGTTAATTGAAGACGTGAAATAAGGAGAGAAAAACAAATCTGTACTTTTTTCTTTTTTTACTTCCTAAGGAAAAATTGAAAATAAGTCTTAACAGTTTTTACAGGTGTTCAGGTCTTAAGTTCATAGGGTCACTATGAGTCGTCTACGACTCGATGGCACTTAACAACAAAAAGATACAATTGAGAACCTACGTGTTTCTTATATAAAGAGTATTTACTGGTGAAAAACATTTGTAAGTTGTTGTTTCTTGTTATGTGCCGTTGAGTTACCTGCAATTCATAACGACCCTATGTATTAATAGCTCAGAAGTCTGCCCTGTTCTGAGCCAGTCTCACTGACTCCGACATACCTACCTACCTACCCCCATTGCCCTAGGTACTGTATCAATCCATCTAATTCAAGGTTTTGCTCACCTGTGCTGTCCCTTCCCCCTTCTGAGCATGATGTCCTTCTCCAAGGATCAGCCCCCAGGGCCACATGCCCGAAGTATGTGAGACATACTTCTCCAAGAAGAAACTTGGTTTCATCCTCACCAAGATAGACCTATTTGTTTTCTTAGCGGTCCATGGTATGTTCAAGACTCTTATCCAGCACCACAAATCAAAGGCATTAGTTGTTCTGTCATCCTTCTTCTTGTGGTTGATTGTCATGAGTCGAATATGATTCATAGTAACCCTATGAACAGAAAGAGCTGAAGATACTCTATAACGCTGTTTCTAAAAGTTCATAGAGTTTCTAGAGGCATGTTGTTTAGGAAGTGGATGCCACTCCTGCATCATTATCCAGCTCCCTGAAGTATAGCAAGTAATTGGGAAAAGCATGGTCTGAATTAGGTGCACCTTAGTCTCTAGACTGATATCGTTACTTCTTAGTACTCTGGAAAAGTCCCTGACAGCTGATTTACCTAATGCAATTTGTCTTTTGATTTCCTGACTTCTGGTCCAAGAATGTTGATTGTGGAGCTAAGCAAACGGTAATTGTTAACAACTTCAATCTCTTATCCATCCATCATAGTGCTACCATTTGACCCACTGGTCAGAATTTTTCTCTTCTTGATGTTGAGTTTCAATCCATATTGAAGACTACAGTCCTTGACCTTCTGCAGCAAGCATTTCAGGTCCTCCTCAGTTTCAGCAAGCAAGGTTGTGTCATCCGCATAATGCAGGTTGTTGAGTCTTCCTCTAAGTTTGATGCAACATTCCTACTCATAAAGCCCAGCCTCCCAAATGATCTGATATTGCTTGAAAACATATGGAGACAGCATGCATCCCTGATGCCCTCCCTTCCTGATATTGAACCATGGAGTGTTTCCTTGCTCTGTTCTGAGGACTGCTTCCTGGTCCAAGCATAGGTTTCGCATAAGCACCATCATGTGTTCTAGGATTTCCATTCTCTTCAAGGTTAACCACAATTTGTTGTGATCAAAAAGTCACAAAAGTCAAAAGCCTCCGGATTGTCAATGAAACGCAGAGCGATATCTCTCTGATACTCTGCTTTCTGCCAAGATCCATCTAACACTGGTGATAGTGTCTCCAGTGCCACGGTCTTTTTTAAACCCCGCTTGTGTTTCTGATAGTTCTTTGTCAATGTACTGTGTAAGTTGTTTCTGGATAATCTTTTGCAAGATTTTGCTTGCTTGTGATACCAGTTATACTGTACGATAATTTCTACACTCTGTTGGGTCACCTTTTTTTTTGAATGTGAATAAATATAGATCTCTTCCAGTCAGTTTGTCAGGTAGTTGTCTTCCAGATTTCTTGGCACAACTTGGTGAGCATGTTCAGGGCAGCATCTGTTTGTGGAAATGTGTCAGTTGGCATTCCATCAATTCTGGGGGCTTTATTTTTTGCCAAGTCCTTCAGAGTAGCCTGAACTTTCTCCTTCATCACCATTGACTCTTGATCATATATTGTTGCTTGAAATTCTTTTTTGCTAACCAATTCTTTCTGGTACAGTGACTCTGTATACTCCTTCCATCTTATTTAAATAACTCCTCGATCATTCAATATTCTACTCATAGTAGGTAGCATGACCAATAACCAGCCTGCCACCATTATCCTAGTTATTGTGTCAATCCATCTTATTTTGGGTCTTCTTCTCTTCTACCGTCCC